CCTGCCCCCCCCCCCCCCCCCCCCCGCTATACACACACACACACACACACACACACACACACACACACACCTGCTTCAATATCTCCCGCTATGCACTCTCCTTGCCAGAGGACATAACTTCCCCCATACCAAGTGCCATCCTTGAGAATACAGCCCCAGGCCAGGGGACAGAGTGCCTGCCTTGTACTGCCATCAAGACCCCCAGCCAGAACCTGAGAACCCCTGAGAGCTAGGTGAACCTGAGAGATAAGGGATGGGCAGAGCTCTGAGGCCTGTTGCTAAGAGATAGACACTGCACAAGCAAGGTCCAAATTCAAGAAACCTGACCACCCTGTCTCCTAGGTCTAAATGGAAGTGTTCACTGTAGTTACTCTATTGACCTTCTACCACCATACACTGGGCATGCTAGATGTGTCTACATTCATTATGTAGCCACAAGTTGCTGGAATGCAAGCAGCCAAGCCAGGCCTACCCACCAATAATACTAATACCACTTATACAAAGCTTATTATAATCCGGCTCTTCATAGATCAACTCACTTTTAATCCTTACAGCAGCTCTATGTGGTAGGTACAATTCTCACACCCACTTTACACATGAGAAAACTTAGGCCCAAAGAAATTAAGAGCCCTAGGTGGTTTGGCTCAGTAGATAGAGCATTGGCCCGTGGACTGAAGGGACCCAGGTTCAATTCCAGTCAAGGGCATGTACCTTAGTTGCAGTATCGATCCCCGGCCCTGGTTGGGGCACGTGCGGGAGGCAACCAACCAATGTGTCTCTCTCACATAGATGTTTCTCTCTGTGTGTCTCTCCCCCTCCCTTCCACTATCTCTAAAAATCAATGAAAGCCCAGCCAGCGTGGCTCTGTGGTTGAGAGTCAAGGTTCGATTCCCATTCAGGGCACATGCCCAGGTTACAGGCTTGATCCCCAGTAGGGGGTGTGCAGGAGGCAGCCCATCAATGATTCTCTCTCATCATTGATGTTCCTAACTCTCTCTGCCTCTCCCTTCCTCTCTGAAATCAATATATATATATATATATATATATATATATATATATATATATATATTTTAATCAATGGGGAAAAATATCCTTGGGTGATGAGGATTAACAAACAAACAAAGAAATTAAGAGACTGGCCCAAAGTCACAGCTAGTGAACCAGGAGAAATGACATTACTGGGAGCCCTTGGATTACTAACTGGACACAGGTCTGTACTGCAAAGGTGTGAGTGCTTGATCAGAAGGCATATTACCCAGGTAGAGACAGATTTGGAGTTATTCTCATGAGAGGCAGGTTGTGTGCGACTGCCACAGGGCAGAGTGCAGTGTTAGTGCAGAAACACTGTTTTCAGTTAACATATCTTCCTTTGGGTACCATCCCAACTCCATGTGGTCCTGAAGCAGCCAATCACAATGCCTTATGAATGACCATGTGAGCCACCTGGGCCAATCTGAATACACAGTGGTTAATTCAGGAATGAGCATGTGAATCAAGCAGGGCCTTTTCTGAAACTGGTAAATGGATACCATAGGGGGGAAATTCTTGGTGCTAAGCTGAAAATGCAGGAGGTCAAGGGCAGTCCAGGCCCAAACTAGATCAACTCTTTTAATGCTTATAATGACCCAAATTTTATCATCTTGATTTCACATTTAAGGAAACTAAGACCCAGAAGGGTTAGGGTCACACAGTTAGCAAGTGGTACAGTGAGGGTCAGAACTACTCAGGCAGTTTGACCAGAGAGCCAGCAGCCTTAAGGCAAAGCCACAGAGGGAGGTGGCAAAGAGGAAAGGCAAGCATTTCAAGGAGCTTGGTGACTTTGCGAAGGAGGAAGGAAGAGACTGTGTGTATTGGGAGGAGGGAACTCACCATGCAGGCCTGAGCCAGGCTCATGGCCAGGCGGAAACGGGCAGACATGGCAGGAGGCAGCAGTGGGCTGAGGCTGGAGCCCACGGCAGGGTTGATCACACGCAGGCAGCGGACAACAGCTTCCACAACCAGCTCAGTGGTGAAGGCTCGCAGGGTCTGCACTTCTGGAGGAACAGCCCTGAAGAAAAATGGGTGCAGGCTCGATGTGGGGAGCAGTCAGAAAACGAATCAGGCTGTGCTGTGCTGCCTTCTAGAAGCCCTAGTATTGGAGTGGGGGTGAAGAGGATGGCCATGGTTCAGACAGGTCCTGGGTGTTGATAAAGGTGATTTCCATTTGGAAAACTAAGAACTGAGGATGGCCCTAGCCGGTTTGGCTCAGTGGATAGAACGTCGGCCCTCGAACTGAAGGGTCCCAGGTTCGATTCCGGTCAAGGACATGTACCTCAGTTGCAGGCTCCATCCCCAGGTCAGGGCACATGCAGGAGGCAACCAATCAATGTGTCTCTCTGACATCAATATTTCTCTCTCTCCTCCTCCCTCTAAAAATCAATGGAAAAACATCCTTGGGTGAGGATTTACAACAACAACAACAAAAACTGAGGATGTCCTCAGCTCCTAAGAACTTGCTGCAGGAGAACAGTGGGTGGAAGGGATCTGAGTTGAGAAAATTTGAAATTTCCCTATGCTTTAAAAGCCCCAAATTTCTGGGGTCTGGGAAGGGCAAGGGGCCCATGTGGTATCATCTCTGGGTTTCTGGTCCCCAGATATCATGTTCTCTAAATGTCAGAGGCTCCTGGATATTGAGCTGCTTGGGTTTTGAGACTATATGTTGGGAGGCTGGGGTTTTCAGAAGTTCCAAATGTCAGGATTCCTGAATTCAAGATTTCTGAATATTAAGACCACCTAGTGTCAAGCAATCCAGAAATCAGGCTCCTTACATGATGGCATCCTGGGTTTTTACGGCCCCGGAATGTAGGAGTCTTGTGTGTCTGGGTCACCAGGCCTTGAGGCCGCCAGAATTTAGGCTCCTGGAATTTTAAAAGCCCCAGGTGCTGGGAAACTGGGTTTTAAGGTTCCCACATATCCATTCCCAGAGTTTTTGGAATCCCTGGGTGCTAGGGTCCTGGGGTTTTAAAGTTCCCTGGTTCTCAGGAGACAGGTGCCTTAGAATCTCCAGGTATCCGGATCCCAGGGTAGTAATCTTAAGATCATAGATTTCAGGGTCCCAGGTCTTGAGGTTCCAACGTTTTAATGTTTCAAGATGTTTGTGTCCTTGATTTGGGGGTTTAACAAATGTCAGGCTTGGGAGGACCCTGGTGTGTGTGTGTGTGTGTGTGTGTGTGTGTGTGTGTGTGTGTAAGGGGAAAGGATTTTAGGATCCTGGAAGTTGGAGCCCTGGATATCAAGGACCAGGGTTTTAAGGTTCCCGGGTGACTGGGTCCTGAGTTTTGGAGTCCCGGATATATGCATGCCGGGGTGGGCGGGGGCTGTGTCCTTACGTGCCGGCCTGGCGCAGGGAATGGATGAGGATTCGGTCTGCCTCCTCCATGGTGAAGCTGTGTCCGAATCTGGGGCTGGGTCCAGGGCCCGGTCCGAGAAGCGAACAAGAGAGGCGAGCGGTTGAAACCCAGCCCCGGGCCCGCCCGCGGTCCCAGGAGTGTCACGGGCTGCCCCAGGCGATCTGGGTAATGTAGTTTCAACAGCGCCTGCAGCTCAAGTGTGCGTCCTGGTGCGGATGTGAGCGCAGAGGTGAGCGAACAATGGCTGCTAGGAGTTGTAGTTCTTCCGCCTACACTCCAATGGGCTCTCCCAAGTGTGCAAAGGAGTGTATCTCGTGTATGTGCGCGCTCGAGAGCGTCTTGGTGTGCGCGCGCGCAGCGTGTGCGTATGCGTGCGTGTGCGTGCGCGTGCGTGTTGGGAGGGCGGGAGGGCGGGAGGGCGGGACGGAGAGTGATTTCTTGACTCATTCATTTAGGAAGGCATTCGCCTTCTAAATTGTAAAAGTGTACAAGGGCAGGGGCTTTAGCACAAAGGGTCTAGGGTTGAGTCTCAGCTCTTTAGCTCAGATCTTTAGCTCAACTTGCTAACTGTGCAATCGGGGGTAGGTTACATAACTTCCCTATCTTGGTGTCCTCATCTGTAAAATGGACTACAGTATTCTCTCCACCCCCAGGCCCGGTTTCGCTTTCTGCTGTTTCCCGCGATTAATCGCCATCTGAAAATATTAAGCGGAAATTTCCAGAAATAAATAATTCATAAGTTTTAAATTGCACGCCATTCTGAGTAGGGTGATGAAATCTCGGGCCACCCGGCTCCCTCCCTCCCCTCCCCCCGCCCCCAAAGTGAATCATCCCTTTGTGGCTGTATATGCTACCTGCCAATTAGTCGCTTAGTAGCCTTCTCATGATTAGAAACACTGTGGCAGTATTGCAGTGCTTCTGTTCAAGGATCCCTTATTTTACTTAATAATGGCCCCAAAGTGCAAGAGTGGTGATGCTGGCAATCCAGATATGCCAAAGAGAACCATAAAGTGCTTCCTTTAAAAGTTATGTATACATAGCAGGGAGGGGGAACATAATATATCTAGGGTTCAGTACTATGGCTCTTTCAGGCATCCACTGGGGGACTTGATAGATAAGAGGGAGACTAATGTACCTGCTTCCTATGATTAAAACAGAATTAATTCATGTAAAGCATGTTGT